GTTTGAGAAGCAAATTCACCTTCATTAGAAATAAACTACGTTCTTCCCAACTGGTAACAGATTTTTACACTTACACGCACATTTACATTTACGTCTTTGTATAGTAACGCCTACAACACGTACTTTTCGACCTATATTCGAACCTCCGCGGATCAACCTTGATCGGAATTAATCCCAGACGATGGGCCAGCACCTCGTCCTGAATTATACTTGTGTTCTGGTACAGGAACACTTTTTCGATGGCCATCGTTGGAACCTCAGCGATCATTATCCGTCGGAGCGCATTTGCGTAAGGTGCTTCTGTATTTATCAGGTCGAATTCTAAATCATAATTCTCCATTTTCCAGATCTGGATCTTCAAGTTCTTAAATAGCAAAAAATCACTTATTGAATACAAAGCCTTCTTCTGAAATAATGTTTTCTACGGAAGAACAGAAAAACAGCTAGCACGACCAACAATAATGCTTCCTGGACCGTCATTTTTGAAACTCTAGCAACTCTTAAGATTTAAACATACATTTGTTAGTTTGAGAAATAAAAGGTTAAACGTCAAAGAAACGCTGATCTGCCATTTTGTTTCATCGCTGTACTTCAAAATTAGTCTCACCCCAGTTTGCAAGACGATCTTAGATCACTTTACCTCTTAAGATATTATGTTAATTTCTTTCATCTCAGAAAGATTAAGCAATTCAGTTCGAAACATGTCCTCCCATAAGACAAAACTACGATTTTCAGAATTTTCCATGAGAGTTCACAATCTAGTGAATTTGAGAATTTTACTTTAAGCAGGATTTCTGGAAAAAAATATCAAACATTAGTTGAGGAAAAACGGATAGTAACCCTCAATTATTGTGTCTGAAAAGTCATATTTTGACATGAGGACGAAAAATATACCTTCGGTTTTATGGAAAAGAAGGAAAAGGAAAGATTTTCATCGCTGGGATGTCTGTCTCCACTACACGATCATAATTGGAGGCCAACTGAAGCCATTGATTTCATGAAGCTTCTGGTGTAAAGCTGACCTCCGTTTCCATATAACCAGCTACGCGTGCCTCATCTTTTTGAAGACAGAAGCTCCATTGTGGTAAGCATAGTGTGTAGTCTGTTTCCTTTCCTCGGAAGGTTGAAAGGCGAGTGATCCTGACGCTCTACAACTGAGCACCGATGGTATGCAAGCATATGTCTGACAGATGCTACTGGGTAGCTGATGAAAACGAGGGCAATGTGTAGCTGTGTACCTTAAAGTGTCTTAAGTAAGAGCTTCATCATTTCTCCTTCGCCAACATGTAGCTGGGGATAAATGCAAAA